TATAACAGGAAGACTTGTCTCCCTTAAAGTATACTGGGATAATCAGTGGCCCACATGTGTCCAACGAGATAACCTCTAATTCCTGAACGTTGCCTAATACCTCAGTTGACCCAGACAGTAAACTGTCTCCACCATCCTTTAACACCTCTAGAGTAATTCCAGCAGGTCCTGTGGCTTTACCTCGTTTCAGTTTAGACCGATGTCCATATCCCATTCAGGCAGGTGTCGGATGATGGGCAAGTCTGGTGTGGCTATAGGCCGGTTAAATTGCTCTTACCTTCAACGGTCCGGTTGTCTATCCTGAAAGCTAATTAAGGCTTCATTTTTCTCGGAGATTTTCTGACTTATAAATTGGTTTTTGCCACCTGTTTCCCTAATAAACCTAAATAATTGTAGAAAATAGCAGACAGATTCAGCGAAGAAAATTTTCTTTATCGACGAAATCATCTTCAGAGGCTGTGCAATCGTATTTATACCTACAAATATATATAGTGGTCTATTATTGAGTAACAGGGGTTGACATAATTGATATAATTACTCAGAAGTGGCTTTAGAACTGAAAATTAGAAGTTGAAAATTACGTGGTACTCAACGGCAAAAAGATAGAAATTTGATAAGGTTAAAATTGCTATTAAGTGTGAATAAAGGTATTTGAGTGTCAATTTAACAAGTGTGAAGACGGTGTGAAAATATACAAAAGGAGCATATGAGAGTGATAATCGTGAATTAATTATTAAAGCAAAAGCTAACTTAAATTGAAATTAGAATGAAAAGAAAAAATCAAAAATATTTTATTTACAAGGAACAATTAGTGAAGAGGTTAAGACCAAGGTAGTATAAGAGACTGGACAAACTTTTTCTGTATACAGAGTTCAGGGTTGTATTGATGAATTGCTAGATGAATTGATAAATAATTGTCTTTGGCTTGTGTTTCTCACCACTGATCAGTCGTTGCAAAGACTTTTATTCAACTTGCATTTGAGCAGGTTTTACTCCTCATCAGGTTAGGAGCCCTTTGACATCGAACTTCTTGAGTCCATTAGTCCAGATGACGCCGCATAAATCCACTGGCATCTACTAACATTTTGTTTTCAGTTGTCAATAGTCTTCGCCTCTCTTTGCTAAACTGGCCTAAAACTATGTTAGGCTTCCCCAGGTTGAGTCTTGTTGTCAATCTCGGATATGCTTTAACCTATTACTACCTTGAATAGGGATTTAGTTTTCTGGTCAGGTTGGGGGCGTAACGGCCTATGAACGTTCGATCGTAGTGAACTGAGTGTACGCAGGCCTTTAGAAGGTAGCTGTAATCTTCTGCCAACCCACACCGTTGTTAGTTCATCGCTATATGGTCTGTTTGAGTTCATCATTGATTTGATGACCGTGTTCACCAGTGATGACTGGGAACAGATAATTATCTGAACAGAACTACATAGGACAGTTACAGTTTTCTGTTCGTCGGCATGGAATTCCATATGTGCTGCCAATATACTTCCCCGATTGGGACAACTTCTCCACTTAAACATTGGAGTCGCCTGATAGAACGACTGTGTCTTAGCTTATTGCTTTAAGCAGCAAACTAGGCAGCCTTTTACTGAAATCCAGTCTTTTCGGGCGTAAGCGGAGATTATGAAAAGACATCGTCAGGTGCCACAATCTTTCCTCCTAGTGGATTCGTTCAGATGGATAGCATACGTACTCTATATACTGTTATCCAGTCAAGCAAGACTTTTTCTACTCCAGCAGTCAGTGCATTCCCTGCACTTTAGAGTCCTCGAGAACTAGCTGAAGAATCTCCTGACACCCGTAAAGTGAATTTTGCAGATTCGTCTTTTAGCCAGGTGGGGTTAAGTGAATAACCAAACTTATGTTTTGTATGTGTCTGAGAAATACAAAATATATATATATCCATAGCTCATTATACCAGAGTTACAGCCAGTAAATCCTGTTGTCCAACTTGTCAAAGGGTCCTGACCTAAAATGCTCCAGTATGAAGTTGGCAGCGTGGCTTTAAGAGACTATCGGGAGTGTTTTTCCGGCTCTCGTCACTATTAGTAGTCACAGTATTAAGGGCAGATGAGACCTGTCTGTGAAATAGTATTAACAGTAGGAGGGAAATGATAGCGGAAAAGGCGGGTGTTGATTAGGAGGGCTTTGTGTGCTTATGGAAGTGTGTGGGTTTCTATTAATTCCCAACTGCCTACACCATGGACATTGGTTTCTTTTTGAGGTATCTGGAACAGAAGAAGCATCAGTGTTGAGTGACCGTAGAGACTAAGGTACAACAGCTTGAGGCCAGTCACACACAAACTCTTTGAAGTGGATTTTGAACTTACCTTCACATTAGGATCTTACCACCGGATACGAGCTGCCAGAAGGTAATTCAGGACTTAAAATTTCCGGGGTCAACCTTTTCTAAGCCCGCCTCTCCAGAGAAGAAAGACAACATAGCAGGTCATCAGAGAGAAACACCCTACTGATATTGCTTCACTATTCGTCAGCAGTGCAACTTAACACACTGCATACTGTAAATAGCTTACAATATGACGGTAACCGCCTTCATTCTAATCACTGTCCAGACGACCTTTCTGGCATGATAGGACTTGCAGGAACAATTGTTCTATCCAATGTATCTTGTCGGGACATTTCAATATACAAGCCCGACCACAACACAGAGGTAGCACCTATCGGTCGGAGTGAAGTAATGAACTTTCACTTGAATGCTCTTTAAAAGTAGGCTTGCTTACTTTCTGTATGTTGCTCCATACATTATTTATCTCTATAGTCTTACTATTCTGCATGAAGCATCTCTTAGTGCCTATGGTGTAGCACACACATTTCAAGACTATTTTATGAGAACACAAGTGGTGCACAATATTCAATACATCTATCAATTCCAAAGACTGTAAATATACAGCCGTTTAAGAAAATGAAGATTACGCGACTGAAAACCTCGGTTAGATGACAGAGAGGTATGAGAACCGAAATCCTCAAATATTTCATTGAATTCCATTCAACTAGTCGTTCAGCCCTACCAACTATTGCACTTATGTGCAATTCGCCACCTTGAGATATTTAAACTTTCATAAATAAAACATTTTCATATGTTTCTTTCTTTATTGTATCCTTCAATGTATACGTGCATATTGCATCAGAATAGGAAATATTCGCATGGGATGTTCTATCGAAATTTCCCAAGGCGTTAAATTCTGTTCCCACATATTTCCAAAAAGTCATCTTAAATGCATACAAAAGTATTCTAAAACTGTATGGAAAAATGGTCAAGCGCAAAACCGTGAGGTTAATAATTTAGAAGCAACCAAGCTATAGAAAGCTGATGCCACTATTGCAAAAGGTTTGAAAGTAAGGAAGATTAGAAGAACGGCTACCTTGTCAAACCACCAAAGAAGGGCGACGTAGGCCTCTGCAAGAACTGGCGTGGAATAATGCTCTTATCCATGCCAAGTAAAATGCGAATTTGCGTCATCCTGTAGAGAATAAAAGGCGCAGAACTCCAAATGGGACAGGTTGGATTCAGGAATGGCAAATCACGTAATGGTTAAATTGAAACTCTACGCATCAACATCGGACAGAGCATAGAATGCCAGTCAAATCTATCTCTATCTCAAATTCATCCACTTTCGAGAGGCCTTCGACAGCGCTGACTGTGAAGTAATTTGGAAACAGCTTCAACACTACGGCGTGCAGTGCCCAAGTCTTTGTCAACCTTATTCAACAGCTGGCTATATGACAGTGGCACGTGTCAGGCGATCCACAACAGAAAACTCAATGAAGACGATGAAGTGAATACTGGAGTAAGACAAACTGGCTGCCTATTATCACCGATGATATTCTTAATTGTGGTGGACTGGATTGTGCGTCAGACTGTGCGTGGGGAGTGAGAAGACAGGAATGCACTGGACGACCGATAAGAAAACTCGAGAAGATCTGGATTTCGCAGATGATATATGTCTAATGTCACACAAACTAGAAAACCTAGAGGTAGGCGAAAACCAACAAACTGGCTGAAGAGGCAGCCAAGATAGGACTGCAGGTGAACACAGAGAAGACGGAGGTGATGAAAATAACCAACGAACCGCAACAACAACAACAACAAGCAGTACCAATCACCATCAACGGGATATATTTAACAGAGGTTAGCTCCTTCACTTATCTAGGAAGCATCGTTTCAACTGCGCGTGGAACGGATGAAGATGTCAAAGTCAGAATCGGAAAGGCAGGATACGCCTTCATCAACCTGAAACCAGTTTGGAAATCTTCCACACTCAGCATAAAGAACAACATTCGGATATTCGACACCAAGGTCAAGTCGGTCAGTTCTTCTATGTGGATCAGAAACTTGGCGTGTGCGTCACGAGAAGAATTTCCAAGAGGTTGCAGAATTTTATCAACAGCTACCTTCGCTCCATACTGAAGATCAAATGGCCAGAAAGCATAAGTAACAAGAAACTCTGGGAACAAACCAACGCAGGGCCAATCGCTCAGTAAGTCTGTAGAAGAATGTGGAGACCGTTGTGTAACATCGCGTGACAGTCCCTTGAGTGTAACGGAAGTCGGAAAGGACGAGTGGGTCGTCCTTATGAGGGTAACATGGAGATCGTGTGAGGAGGAGGTGAGATTATGGGCAGTCACGCAGCCAGCAAAAGAGGACTGTAGAAAATAGGGCATAGCTGAGATGTGTCTGACTGACTAGTTTCAACATAGAACTTTGCACCGATGAGATGTGTTGTTGAAGGCCTATGTTCTACTCGGAACCCAACGGTATAATAATAATTATCAATTAAGGAAAACGATTCAATGTTATCAAGGGAAGAAATACGCACTGTGAATTATATACACACAAATGTATGCGCAATAAGGCGTAGGTAGGTATCATCGATAATATTAGGCATTTACAAAACATTTTGCGATAATTCTCAATCGCCCCTCCTTTGTATTCTACATTAGATTCATCTGAAAACTTTTTTCTTTAATTGTTCAAGGAAAAGAAATACATCTTCACACTTATCCGAGATGAACTGTCTTCCTTGAAAATGCCTTACAGTGATTGTACAAAGTTGAATAATAAAAAAACACCCATGGTGAAAATGCATTGAGTTTAAGTTTGATAATTTAGTTAGGTGATATACAAGCAATTTATCTATATGATATTAGGTAGTTGGAGGTAATCGGCAGGAAGCCTTGGACCTAGATTTCGTGCTACTTGGCACTCGTCAGCAAGGCGTATCTGCAACCTTGAAGGGACTCATGCAAACCTGACTGATAGAATTCAGTCTGCACCAAAGAAAGGACTAGACACGTCACACTAGGTACTAGTGTCCAATGAAAATAATTTGTCTATATACTTGAAACTTGTTTTACTTATAGAGATTTCATCAGCTATATAACACAACGGTAATACAAGAAATGTGGGTCATAAGACAGAACACAAGGACACACATAGTTAATGAGTAATATTATTACTATTACCAATTGCACAAAAGTGAGACAAAAATAACTCAGTTCAATGCACCGTTGAATATGATATTATGTAGAGATAAATGAAAATACAAGTAAATAGAATGAGCACTGCTTAACCACCAAATTTTAAGGGAAAATAATCACAAGTCAATCAAAATAATGACAAAAAACAATATAATTTTGCATAATACAAAAATCAAAAAAATAGATTTTCATAATGATATGTGACTTTTGTGCTTCATTTTTTTCCTCTCATTATTATCAATATTGTAACTGTAAAGAGAGATAGGCTGTGGCTTTGTAAATGTTTCTACTGTTTACAGGTATACTGGACGAGTCAATATTGCTCATTTGCACGTATTTCTAAAATGCGAAATGGAATTTAAAATGTGAAAGGAGTAAGTATTATTATCATTATTAGAAGTTGTTTACTACACAAATACATACACACACAGACGCCTATGATCAGCTTCCGTCAGCTTGATCAGAGTGATCTAAACATCGAACGTATAGAACAGAATATTTCAGTGTCTGTATATATAGACTGATTGCCGATGGTTTGGTGGTTGAATACACACCAGTCACACACGTGGTCTGGTAGTCGATCCCCGACCGATGCACTCCTAAGCTTTGCTTAGTCGGCAGTAAACTAGCTAAAGAGGGAAGGTGGAGTGTGAGGCCAGCAACCCCACTCCGTAAAATAATATACACCATTGCTACTGAAACTTTAGAAAACTCAAGATTGAAGCTGTATGCTCCACTCGAAAGGCAAAGGAATAGAGAAATAATTATCTCGGCTGAATCCCTTACATTTTATTTGATTTCCGAGAAGATGGACGTGAATCAATGGTTTTTATCATATTTTCAAAAAGAATAATATGAATAGGTGCAAACCTATGGTTCGATTGATGCTGTCCAATAGCTATAAACACCTTATGATGAGAGTGAACATGTCATTTCTGTCCTAGTTGCAACTTTAGTCTGTGTATCCTTGAGATATTACAAAAAGAGTCATATAATTATCTTCTAGTTAGAAATTATTTTGCATTTTTTCCGCTGTTTATAAAAATACCAGCAATAACCTTTCACCTCTGTTGTCAATCTACATTGCATATATAAATCCCCTAACTAACCGTACAACTTTGAAGTGAAATTACGAAAAGAGATCTCTTTGCTAACTCATGTTTTCTTAAAATATATAACAATATAATTCGAGGCGTAGAAATTGAATACAGAACTGGAAAGAAAAATTGTGATAGACATAATACCACATCTATATAACAAAGCCTACCGATCTGAACTAAAACGAAAGAAAGCGAACTTAGTGACTGAGGGCATTTATGCACAGTACACACTGCTGATTGCAACATCAGGTGAACTAAATTTTATCAGAATGCTACAAACGCCTTCATTATTTACCTCACACATCTTGTCCTCCATAAACTCAGTTGCGATTCGTCTTGAGTATGAATTTTGACATGAGTCAGCCAAATCCTATTGACTGACTTTGATCTTGTTAACTGGCTGGTAACATACACCTTCATTTACCGTTGGAGGGCTCACAACTAACTACAAATAAAAAGCTAATGTTTTCCTTCTGATACACCAACTATGAATTCCCTTATATGTTTTAAACAGCTTTTGACTTAACATATAATGCAATTAGGTTGCCAGAATCAAGTTTATTTACATACTACGCTACGAAACACGTCGTATGAAGGCGTATAATACTATCTGGTTGCCTACATCAAATTAAGTAAAGGTGGATTCGAAACCACAACCGATTGTTTCACAGTCGAATGATTAGACAAATGGAGAGCATGCTTCAATGATTAAGTCCGGAAATATATATATATGTATATAATGGAATGTTACACTGCACGCTTAAGCTTATTTCACGTTTACTCCTTTGGAATTTTCGTGAATCTATGGAAACTGATCTTTACACATATACACATGTGAATACACATGAAGTGGACGACAACTAGTAATTAAGCAGTTTCGAAGTCGGTTAAGGTGTTCAGTATATTAGGATGAATTATATGATCAGCAGTTCGATAACAAAATAGTAAGTGCATTAAACTCTTCAAAAAGAAAACTAGAAGCAAAAACAAGGAATAAGAAGACAGGAAAAACGAGAAACTAACCGTATACACTTCCAATGAATCCTTGTCTACTGATATGGATGATAGGGGATTAGGAGATGTCAAGTCATATTCATGATATTTATCGATTCTTTCTGGCTGTTTGGTAAAATCAGTACGAAGATAATCTGTAGAGCAGAAGAAGCAATAGAGAAAATCATCAAGATGAATTTGTGACCTGAATGTGACGAGAAACAGAATAGTTCTATGTGAATCACATATGACAATAATATTGAAACTGGGACATGCAGTGCTTGGTAGTTACGTCCACAAAGCATTGGCGAATTGCAAATATCATCGAGAAAAGAGATTTCCGCACTCACTACAGCAAGTCTGACAGAATACTGCAGAAACCTATGGAGTTCTTTGACTGTTGAGGAGTCTTTTCTACTTCTTAATTCATGAATGAACCCCATCCAGTTGTTTACAGTTTTCGACCTGCGATCAGATTTCTGACAGATACCAACAGAACGAAATCACCGAAGCGAAAATGCCTTCACTGTTGGTTAGGAGCAATACAGGTTTAAACCAATGCTATTCGGATTGGAACGTTAGGCATTTACTTTCAGCAGAAAGAACTGGTTCAAGAATGCCACCAAATCATCCTACAGGTATCACAAAAACCTAAGATCTTGCTGATCAAATTGCTTACTGTTCAAGCATGAGAGACGATATTCGAAAGCATGCCTTCGCCTAGTCATAGTACCAACTGAGTCCAGTACATTTGACTGCCACTGCAATCGACGTCGGTAAAATGCATGATAATCTCCCCTCAAAAAATCCAGTGGTAATCTATACCTGTTGGTGATGAGAGAGTATGCCATGCGTTGAATAAATACCGTAGTGATTCCAAATCAACTGCAGCTTAGGCATTAATGAAACGAATTGTCGTGGACCTTGAGAGGAAAAGCATTAATGTTGCATGACTACAGTGCCCAGGTGACATTTGCTTGAGGCCGGTCACACAGGGTCCGCTTGCAGATACGGTTTTTGGAGTCTCATTTGTATAGAAGACTTCACCAACTAAGGACTGCCGTAGGTTGAGCCGGGAAGTATTTTTTGGATAAGATCTATTCTAAACCCTCTGAGCCGAAAGGCAGCAAAGCTGATTTGCTGGTTGTTCTAAGGGAAACACCATGCAGCTGCCACACTCTTGTCTGCCAGAAGTGCGTTGACCTGCGACACTCACAATACACCAAGTGATTAAAACTATGACGGTAACTTGATTCAGTTCAACCACTAACCTACAGATCTTCCTGCCACTAGAAGATCTGTCCGAACATTCAATTTAACCGTTGGAGTTTATCGGCTCATTTTGATATGCATACCCGGCTACCACGTTAAACTAGCAGCTATCCAATCGGTACTAGGCTGGAAAATGAAACTAAACGCAGTGTTAGATATACTACAATAATCACACTATTTGACCAGTGAACTTTTATCAGTACCAATATCGAGAATTTCATGCTGAAAGTATACTGATGAGTAATCTGTGTAAATTGTAATGCTTTACTCATCAAAACCATAATTTTAAAATAACTACCATTACACATACCCTCATACAAATTCCTTAATGATGTATTTGTTGTGGTCTGAGATAATGAAAGACTGTTTGAGTAGATTTGTTCAGAATCTAGTTTCGATTTCGTCAACTGCCCAACTGCTATTGGAGGCTTTCGTTTCTGACGCTTTGACGTACTCATTAGGTAGGAATAACTTGTAGAACAACCTTTACTCTCACCATTATGATCGATTGAACGCCTTAACTTCGACGGAGAAAGATCAGAGTCGGTTGATATACGCAGGATATCTATACCAGGTGGAAAGATGTTAATACAATTTTCCATCGATTCCTCGTCATCACTGGGATAAAATTAAAGATAACAGGAAATTAGGCATTGTATAATAGTCAGTTGAGATTCAACACAGTTTACAGGATAAGAGGTAGGCAAGGAACTAGTAATGGCTTTATGCTATACGAAAAGTACTTCATTATCTGGAAACAAATGCATACAACATAAGAGACTGATCATGTACTTATAGTACATCTTATAAATAGAATGAGCTACATAATATTTTGTTGTTTGGGCCATCTACGAGAGAGGGAGAGAGAGAGAGACAACTATGACACCTCCCAAAATTATTACGAAAACTTTACAGAACACCCTCAAACGATTGGTATCCTATGCTGAAATACCTCAAAGTATATGCTGAAAGTGAAATCAAGCGAACTCTGCACTCAAATGAGAAGTTTCTTCTCCGAAATTCATTATTGCATTCCAAATGTATAACAAGTTATTTCTTTTGTCTGCTTCTGGATCTGAACTAATTGATCTAACTTAGAAACCAATGTCACAAATTCTGCTGAATGTTGACTAGGCTAGTCAACAAGTAAGCAGGTATATGTTAGGACACTTATTAAACTGTACTCTTCTGCGTGCAGACCACTCAATTTTATGTGGTCTTCAGTACACTACGGCAATTAACGCAAAATGGAACATAGAAGAATATGTACAATAGGAAGAGAAAGAACAGAAAGACTAACAATTGTTTGGTGAGGAAATGACAGAGAATCTAATTACCTATCTATGCTGGATTCATCTTCATCGTCGTCTTCATCATCACCACCATCATCATCGCCAAGTTTTTTTCCATTTTCCTCATGTTTTTTCTTTTTAGTATTTATTGACAATTGGCTTTTTCCACTTCTCCATTTTTTTGTTTTACTTACTTCTGTTTTATTCGAATGATCAAGTGTTTCATTAGCGGATGAATTGTCGTGATGCATTTTGCATAATATACTGTTTTGTCTAGTTGTCCAATCGAAATTCGACACATCAGTGAAACTAGGAAATGAATGTGTAGCGCATATTGAATGTCCTAAATCCATAGGCATCGCAGATATTGTAGGACAGGTGAATTGAGCAGTCTGTTGTTTTTCAAGAGTATTATTTGAACATATTCGATTGCACAGTGGTACATCTTTGACATGAGCAAATATATAGATGGGTAAAACGATGTGATTACATTGTAATACTTTTCAGTGTGTTTAAAAAACATAAATGATGAGAATCCATCATACAGGAACCCGACAGTTCAGTATACACATGTAACTTGGTTACATCACGCAATGAAAATCTTGCATTCGAATGTTTTACAGCATACTGAATACAAGATGAAGGCAAACAGACCTCTTGAATGAAGTCTAGCAGTCATCTAATCTCATTGTGAAATGCACAAAACTCAACGCTCGTCTGGACGAGTAAAGTTGATGGTCAAGTTCACTAACTGAATATAAAAATCTGTCTTAAATCGATCGCCACAGAGTTGAACTAACAGACAAAAAATTCATACTAGTTTACTTAGTATCGAATGTATATATACTACTGTTTAATCTGACTTTATCTGTCACATTTCACAGTTGCACTATAGCAATTTTAGAAGTATTGTATTAAGTGTAAATGCTTATGTCAATAAACCATATATTCAAGATCGGTACAAATAATATGGTCTATGATCTGGATACTTATAACTACAAATAATACTTTTTTTCCATTGCTTAGGACGCACAGTTTAATCTACCAATGTGATGACTACTCCATATTTCTACCTGATGAGTAAAAGAAAAAAATATATATGAGAAGAAGGTCAATGAAGTAAAGTTAATGCAGAATCATATGAGGCCAACATTTATTTCGTTGAATTCTGTTCACCTGCTTACAACTTGCAAGCATCAACATGATTTTTGTTAACAGAGACAGAGTAAAGTTAACAAAACTGAATCCCATCAAGTCTCTCCATTTAGCGATATAACAGTACACACAAAAATTGGAAAGTTTTAAAATAAAGAAAAATGTGTATACACAATAAATCTCATAAATAAAAATCGGTATAAAGATTATGAAAATTTAGTGCATCTGGGCTACTAGTATCAACCTTGAACTATCTAAATAAGTACGCTTCAACCACTAATATTAACATTTTGACTATTCCGATAAACAAACCATACCTTATTCAGAGAGAAAACTTGCTGTCGGAAACTTCATAAGATGACAATGTTTTAAGTTGACTACGCTAACGTCAAAACATCTACATAGCTGGTCTATGAGAAGAAAACAGACGACAAAAATCATCTAACTAACTCATCCAACCATTGAAAGTAAAACTGGCTGCTTGTTTCAAATCACTAATCAAGGAAAAAGAGCAGATTGTTTCAGGAATAGATATACAAATATTTGAACTAATTAGCCAACTATGTAGACGAGATTTGTACTAACAGTCCAAGAAGAAATAACAGTCTACAAAATCTTTCAAACTACACATTAAATTATAACTAGAATGTCATTATAAGTGTCGCTTTGAAAAATACCAGCACGGAGAATACTTCAGCATTATTCCTCCATCAAGGCGATTTCTACATCAAGAAAACCCAGTTAATTCAGATAATAGCACTTTGATCAATATAATTAATTGACAACACACGTAAGTGAATATGACATCTTGACGTACTTTTGTACTGAAATATTGAAATGGAAACCTTTAGAAAAATACTTACTTGATGAATGTGAAGATATCATATGTTCATCAGTACGATGTTCTATTATAAGTTCAGCTGAACGAATTTGTGAATTTGGAAAACGATCCAAGCGAACATAGGATGACAGTTTATAAAATTCATGGAACCAGTCAACTCTTTATAAATAATAAACAAGGAGACAACACTTATAAACACATTGTATCACTTTCTGAATAGAATTACCTATTTTATTAAAAATAGTTCTGTTTCTTACAATATTTAGGGATGAAAAAACCTGAGTCATTCACAACGAAAAGATTTGAAGCACCAGTTAGCAGTATTATTCCCCAATAGACGCCTCCGCTCCAGATGGCCTACCAGATATGATAAACAAATCACAGGGTACTCTGGTAACACATAAACCAAAAAATTATCATCCAAAAGCTATGCAGAAGGAAATGGAGATAGATTGGACACACTCTGAGGAAACTCTTCAGTTATATCACATGTCAAGCGCTCCAGTGGAATCCTGATGGGGGAAGACGAATTCGCCTTTCGAAGATGACATGGAGCAGGTAGTGTGAGAAGGAAATCGAAGTTAATCAGCATCCGTAGAGTCATCAATAAAACATGCACAAAACACAGTGAAATGAAGATGTGCTACTGAAGCCAAATATATTGCACTCGAAACCCTAACGAGTAACAAATAATATACGATAGTGACTAGCTAGGATTAGTGAAGTCAGAGAGGTTGAGTGCAATAACAGTAAATTGTATCTGATATTAGACAACTGCATTATGCACTCTCCCAAATGTGACCTTTGGATTACAGTTCAGTGAATGAATGTACTTGCTGAGATATCGTGAGTGATCACTTCTACAGGATGACAAATTGCAAACAAACAGTTATCCACTACACACAATATGAAAAGCATTTTTACTTGTTTGATACTGATGTTAGTTTCGTCTAATCTACCTTCTATAGTACGAAAGACAAGTTCACTAGGATTGGAGGTATCATGAATGTTTTGTCAAAATTTTTTTTGATATAATCAGAAGTGTCTTGCGGTGCGTTAATCAATAATTCTTTGAAAGTTGACAAAAAAGTAATAAAAACATGTCAAGGATACTCTATACTGATTATCATAATGGAATATCTTTTACAACGCATCGTTTGTTGGCGTCACACATGTAACAATATTTGACACTACAGCTAAGATTTTACGCTATATAAGGACACATGATTTTCGCTGTCAACAGATCTCATTTAATGAACGAAATATTCCCATATTGAGTCAGTTAGCGATTAGTGTCATTTAGCAATCTAAAAAACACATTAAACTCAGTAATTTCTACTAGTTATGATAGTTATTATTTTGACAACTGATGACTAGCAGTGGACCTATTTAGGACTCGTTATCCGAATGTACCTGTGTCGCCAGCGAGTGTTTTTATCCCCGATGAATGAAGGTTTCAAGTCTCAGTGGACACATTATCGGTCATTTGAGATCCAAGGACACCCAGCTATCTAGTCCCAAAAAGGACAAGATGAGCATCCTGGATTCCGCTGCAAGTCATCAAAGACCAAAATAAAACCATGTTAGTCTTCAAACACCGTCGAAAATTCAGCACTAGAAGCCGATATATCAACAGAGGTAGAACATTTAAAAGCAACATAACTAATCAACGGGAAAGGCAAGTTAACCTGAACACAAATAATAGTTATAATATGAAAAGATAATGAACGATTTGAACAGTATAACGATGAATTTGATTGATATAGTGAATTAATAGCTAACTGTGCTAGTATTTTCAATCATGAAGACCTGGAGCGGAAAATAATTTTACCAGCTTAAGCTCGAAAATACTTATCAGTTAATTCTTACCCAGAGAAAGAAACTAGATCTGATAACAAATCGAAACTGTAACCGCGAAACAATTGGAAATTGAAAATATTAAGTTTATTCAAATGCAAAGTAGTTTTTTGATACTACAAGTTTATCAACTTCACCATAACTGAGGAACCATGTACTAATTCATACACTTAATCGTGAAACATATTTATCTTAGGAAGGTGGATAATTCCAGACGGCTGTCTAAACCTGAATAGATGAAAGCGGATTATAACTTAAGATCGACTTATTCAGATTTTTATGCTCAGACAAGTGAACTATTGAAGAGAAGAGAATAGCTTTAAATAAATTAAAATGTGACGACTTGAAACAATTGCTGGGTTAATCTCAATTGTCATGAACTTATTATGAAAAAGATCCATCTACAGCTTTTGTTGAATTATTTCTACTACTCACCTTATATCATTAGAAGGTAAAACAAGACATTGTTCAGAAAAATCGCTCGCTTTTTGTTTTATATCCATTCCTCTTGGTAAACATTGCAAAAGATCACGTGGACACCAATCAGTGAGTGGTAAACGATGAATAGGTAATCGTGACCAAGCATCTAACCAATGCAAATAAGCATCACTACACATATCCCATATACAACCAGATAAGGAAGCGGCAACAGTAGCTAGAAGTTGATCTGTATCCGAATGGAAGGTTGCCAACTTGTCTTGCAGTTGATAAGACGACTTTAAACTTTCATTTAAATAATACCTTGGTATCAAATGTTCCTTTATAAAATCATACAGTGTACCAGACCAAAGATTAGGGCGATACACGCGTAAGAATACACTTATTGCGCATTGTTTTTCCCAATCGGAAAATTTGTTTGAGTAATATCTATATTTGAAAATGAAATTACACGCATACAATTAAAAAACGAGAACAAAAACTGACTTATCAATAAAGTTGTAGTAAAATGCATCGATTCAACTATAGACAGTACAAATAAAAATGTCACAGCCAACCAGTATCAGGAAAACAAGACAGGTGTCCACCATTCTGAAATAAGAGTTGACATCTGCAGGACCCAACACAACGAACAAGATCCAAATTTCCAACACTAATGTCAAGTTAATGCTTTTATACGCTTCAGAGACTTAGCGCGTGCGTGATGAAGAGCATTTCCAAAAGGCTACTACAAACTTTTATCAATAGATACCGTCGATGGCTTCATACTGAATATCGGATGGCCAGCCGGGAAAGGTAAGCTACGAAGGACCCTAACAGCCAACAACCCACTGCCAAAAAAATACGCAGAAAGAAATGGCAATGAATTGGACACATTCTGAGAAGTTCTACAAATGGAATCACACGCGAATCCCTCCAGTGTAGTTCTGGTGAGAAGTGATGCGCTAAGCTTCTAAGGGTATCAGCTAGATAATCATGTGAAGAGAAGAAATGTAGCCAGTTGAAAATGATGGCAGGGAAACGTGTGCAATGAAGATGTGCATTTGAAGTCTTATGTTTCACTCAGAAGGGAATAAATAATGATAATAATAATAATAATAAAATGCAACTTATGATTCACACGTAAGTTTGTGAACTAAAGGATTAATAACATCTAATGTATATAGTTCAGTGATATTACTTTAATACGTAGAACTCCGAAAATGAATCTAATTTCAAATTCTGATCCATCCACTTTGCCTAATATTTATATTTCAAAACCAAATGACAATGAATACTCATACTAAAATATTTTATTTACAAATAGTATAGTTGAATGCAAGCATCAATTTTATTTATATATCTATCAAAGAGTCTATCTATACACGTATGCTTCGAAAATGTAGCAGAATACTGCGATTGCAAAAGATGAACTCTAGAAGCAACTGTTATGTGGATTAGAAATTTGCATATTATGATCATGATTCCTTTTCTACTTCCTTGCTGGTATTGTAGGACAATGACCTTAGTCATCATCATAACTTTTTGAGTCTTATGTCAGTATGCAAGCAAGCCAGTTCATCAAGTCGAACGACTGGCTTTCAGTTAACCGCCTTAATATATTCATTTTTCAACTGGAATCAAACATTACTACACGACTGGACGAGTTGCTTAATCCTTAACTAACACATTAGATAAAAGAGAGAGATAAAAAGTAAAAAACAAGACACTTGAAAGTCTTAGATTGTTTTATAGTCAAAGGCAATGGTAAAATATTATGATATTTTATCCCTGCCTTGTTATTATCACATCTTTTCAGCTGCCGTTGATTCTCAGCACTATCATCTAGAATTTTGCATCCCAGGTTCTGGTGGCCATGTGGAATCTTACCACGATATCTTCATGAATTTCCACAATTCACTTTAATTGGCAGCTGAAGGGGGAATAATTTCAATCACTTACATATGGCAGAAAACAGAAAGCGCATCTGATCAATTTAGTTTGTATTTAAGCCAATTTATAATGGCTTTATAATGGTGATACTAGCTGTTATTGCATACTAGTGTTAAACACCTGGCGGAGTGATGGTTTACTTGTTTAGATATTCAACTTTGAATCTTTCACTTGCAAACGAACAATACCATATACCACAAGGCACTGCATGTATTTTATAACTTAGTACATTGGCTTGGTTTTAACATGACAATTCATATCCTAACGATTTAGCTTCACGTTTAACACTTCGACAGGTTATACAGTCACTGGAATTGATAAAACTGAGCATACATCACATGTAAAGATAAAGGTATTGACAATCTTTTTGATATTACAATTAGCGGTTAAAAATTTATACACTTTGATGTAAAACAAAAAGCAGTCTCCAACTTACCGAGATAATGTTTGAACAAAATCTCGAGAATGACTAGAAAGTTTCTTTGTCTTGCGATATGTGTTTATATTATGCACCAATTGACTACCACCATACTGTAGGGCTAATGTATCTCCATGTTCATCATATAACTCCTATGAATAAATGAACGAGTCCAGAGAAGAAAAACAGCAGAAAGATAATTACTACATACAAATTGATAACTTCTATAAAACAACCGAATGGAAAGCATACAGCTGACTGGTGGAGATATACATGGAATTTAGCACATTGTACCTGTTCATAGCAGTGAATTGTTTAATGGAAAAATATCAGACAGGTACCAAGCAGATCACATAAGCCAACTTGTATATCTTTGTTTTGAAAGATAGTGATAATTAAAAATCCCATCTCATGTTATAGAGAAGTACGCAATGAGATTAATGGAATGCATAAAATATTGCAGATGAATATCAAACAGATAAAGTTTAGTGAAGCAAGTGTTTGCCATGATTTAAGAGTGGTTGACGCTGTGAAGGTAGTACAGTAGGCCCACTAAGGCTAATGATACGTCTTTCCGATGACCACCGGTAATCACGAACCCTAGATTCAAGGTTGACAACTGACTGATTCCGCACACTTGAGGCACCCAGTTTTAAAATGTAACATTAGTCTCTTACAAAAAGCTTTCCTGATTCACCTTCTATATACTGACAAAAATCATAGCCGTATATATGTGACCATGAAGAACTATGTAAAATTAATAAATAACTTTACATATAACACTGAGTATTTTAAAATAAAACTCTTATCCGTAAACATGAATGAGTCTTGTTGAAGTCACCTGGTTCACAGTCATACATGTTGGATAGATCGCATAATAATTACAGCGATAGTAATAATAATAATAAAGTAGTATGTACCACTCAGAACTCAAGGGAACAATAATATCCCAAACAGCAAATTTGATACAATGTGGAATCTCAGCACGTAGTACTGTGGTAGTGTGATACAGTCAGTGGGTTCCAACGGAATATTATTTTCATAGTAAGAATGATTGTATCTATTGGTATTAACGTCTGAATACTATTCCCACAGTTCAATACTGCATCAGCAACAGAATATTATATGCATTTGAACATTCCATTTCATGTCGTTTAATGTAAACCAAAATCACACGCTGAGTGATTGGTTAAAGAATATAAACTGTAGTGATATAAATAGTGGTTTGATCACCTGAAAATATACCTTGGCTTCTGTGTCTTGCCTTCTGCTGTTACAGTAATATATACATATACATATATTAGCCAGGAAACAGATTTATTTATTTTTTATTTTATTTTGATTACTGCTTGATTCCACACCGTATTTTTCGGTACAGGTATGGAATTTTCAGCATGTGATATCGGTAGCCCAAATTTTGCAGGCCGACCAATTGATATCAGGTGTGCGTCGGCAGGGGATCGAACCCCGGACCATGTGCATGATCAGCGAGAGTCCTAACCACTGTGCCACCGACGCCACCAGATTATGCTGATGTCCAATAAACTCGAGAATGTTATTTCTTAACTGGGTGGTCCATTAGTTTTTTTGTTTCTTGATTTCAAATTCCTCGTTACTTGCATAAAATACGAATTTAATATGTATTAAAAAAAATAAACCCCCTTGTTTCATGAAGTTGTTATTCATCACATGAAATAAATTTTATTTCACGATGAATAACGAAGTTCTTTTTTTGATATCACATAGGATATATTTAAGATATATCGAAGGGAATATATTTTTTGTCCTTTGAAAAACGGCTTATGAACTCGTTTCAATTAGCAGCTTGAAAGAAACACCTCAAAAACAACCACATTGCATTTCATAGATTTGAATTATTCAGTGTTAGAGACATCAAAAGATAATATGAAGCTTGCATAAACACAGAGTCTCTTAGTACATTTTTTTATAAACATGAGTATTAGATAGTTGGAGGCAATCGGCAGGAAGCCTTGGACCTAGGTGTCGTGCTAGTTGGCACTCATCAACAAGGCGTATTTGCAACCTTGAAGGAACTCATGTCCCTTCTGAGATTCGAACCCGCGTCACCCAGTGCTGCAGTCAGAGACGTTACCAATGTGCACCGTGATGGCGAACTACCTAGAATGATGGCCACATTGCAAAAGCTGACTGATAGAATTCAGTCTGCACCAAAGAAAGGACTATACACGTCACACTAGTTACTAGTGTCCAATCAAAACATGAGAATAGTGACAATTTTCTTTTGCTGTAGTGTACAAGAAATAAAAGATGAGTGGAACATTAAAACGACATAGACATGTGTACCTGAGATGTCATTAAACCGACAAGCTAAACAGCATATGTTATAAATCAGTCGAAACTAACAATATCTTTGAACTAAAATTTTAAAAGCTTAATCTTTACCTAATTCTAGTACTTAGGTCTAAGAAGCTGTATATGATAATGATAAAAAGGCATTAAAATTGGCAAGATGGTATAAACGATCCACTTAGGTTCAAAACCAGCGAGGCGAAAGTCTCTTTTGGCCAGAATTTATACAGACAATGGACTAAGTTCGAATGACAAGTTAACATACGTTTATATGAATGAAAAGGCACGTGAATCACGTACACAGCCAGTGAAATTACGCTTTTCCTTTAGCCTACTTATGAGTAGTTCGGCGATTTTCATTAAGAAAAAGGGAAAACACGCTCTTCGTGAGCCACCATATTTTCTAAAGTATTTCTCTTTTATTCAATTAATGAACTGATCTTGTTTCCAAACCACGATCTGTTAAAATTAACTTGTAAGAAATAGGCGTATTAATTTAAATCAATGTGACATTATTCATTCCTTGCCTTCCGAGTGAAACACAGGACTTCAGCAACCTATATCGATTGTATTCCGTTCGCTGCCATCACTTTCAGCTGGTTACACTACTGCTCACAAGCATACATTTCATCTTCGCATAGTCCTCTCCACATTACACACATACACCCAACTTTTCGCTTCCCATCCAGGTTTTACTAGACGGTCTAGCTTGTGTTGTCATTCAATGGTCTACTCAGAGTATGTCCAACCAATATCCATTTCCTTCTGAATAGTTATTTAGTAATAGGTTCCTGAATGATTGGCTACCAAAGTTCTTGGTTGCTTATTCTTTCTCGCTGGCCATCTAACCTTCAGTGCTAACAAAAGGCAGCCGGTGATCAAAGTCTGCAGTAGTTTGTTGGGAATGCTTCTGGTGGCGCGCGCCACAAGACTCTGAACCGTATGGTACTTGACATTAGAATTGAAGATCTGGATTTTATTCCTAATGCAGTTTTCTGCTCCGATTTTAGATTATGGAACGCCTGTTTCTCATTCCCAATCTGATCCTGGCTGGCTCTGACATACTCATCCATGTCACCTGTAGTTCGGACGATGCCTCTTAGGGAGGTGAAAAGACGACTTCCTTAAGATTTCTCCCATCATTAGTGATTGATGGCCTTTGCGTATATTCATCACTTTTACTTTCCGTAGATTTATCTAAAGGTCTATCTGGGCTGACTTTTCTGTCAACTTGCTGTTTTTAATCACTTTTTGTTAACCCTTCTCTGTTTATCTACGTCCCTCATGGGAATAGAAACAACTGAAATCTCATCCAACAACTACCTGCATTTCTATCCAGTTGACGATGAGCCACATCTATTGCCTGGTTGCTCAAACCACTTAGACAAAGCGGAGTTTGAACCTGTGACTCAGTGGCTGATAAGCGAAAGCCACAGATCCGCAACCTCCCTAATACTTTAGTAGGACATAGTTTTATCAATTTTAAAGCCCTTATCTATTGAGTTACTCTGAGTATTCATTTGTATAACCACACCGTTATCGCTATTCCTATTATCACACATTTTTCTACTGTCCATCATCGTTATTAATAATTTTACTATTACTAAATGCACAGATTACAGCTATCTTAACGTGCTGTTGACAAATCACCATGACTGATGCATGCTTAATACGTTTTTGGAAAGTTATGTATTGTAGTGGTAATAAAACGAACGATGACATTTTCAGATCTACGCCAAGGTACAGCATAGATAAATTCAAGTCAATTCTGGCGTTTCGCTTAAAATCATTTTCTCTCAGATTTAGAGAGTCAGATGGATCTAACCAGAACAGTATAAATTGATCTAAATATACATTGATATGAATGTATATGTAAACACCTAGTAATTTAAATTGAAAAACATGTCTACTTACAACAATTCAAACTGTACTAAAATTAAATCAACAGTATTATTGAACAGTCAGTTTGTGTATAAGAAACTTAGGTACGTTGCTGTTAAATAACTGACTGACTGAGTACTCAACTATATAACAGAACCGTTAGTCAGTTTGAATTCATCTGAACTGTATTACCCACTCCATTTCCATATTGCCTCATTCAATGTATCAGTCTATACTATGTATGTGTGCGTACTTTTGTACTACCTAAGGTTACCTAAAATCATGTGCAACACAGAAAATATAATCTGGGAAATTCTATTGAAACCTTCCAGTTCCATTTATCCTAATTTGCTTAATCTTTTCACATTGTTTTAAAATCTATATCTCACTTGCAGTAAGCGATCAATTTGTGAATTATCCATAAAATCCGGTTCAGCTAAAAAGCCTAAGCCGTACAATTGATAGCCAAGAACAACTCGACCAATCACAAATTGAGCTGTATTTGTCCGATCCAAACAATCAACACAATTTACTCGAATTATTCCGTATTGATTGGAGCTAGAATGCAAGCAAAAGAAAGCCATATAAAATGTGGATAACATCATTGTTGTTCACTATAAACAAATGTTTAGTTTTTAAAGAAATCTGCACACGGAACAGAACCTAAGACAACTTAGCCAATAAACTGCCATAAGGATAATCATCGACTGTGACGCTTTCTTGATTCCCATAAAAATATAAAGAAATTTAGCATCTGACGAAAACCTCATCAATAGCAATTTAAAAACTGTATCTAAAACGACGAAACAATATACATAATTATTGAAACGCGTTTGTGTATTTACCTTTACAGAAGAAAGTAAGAATCAGTTTAGCATATGAAATGGTTCAGAAAACTTATCTTGAAATAGAGTAAATAAAGAATTATAAGCAAGTTAAGTAATTAAACGCTTATCATTGCTGGATGGAAACAAAGCAAGAATAACAGTTTTCGCAGAATAAAATGGTACCATCTTTTATTTCGTTGGCTTCTCATCAGCTGCTTACAACCTAAAGACATTATTAAGTATATCCACAGAAACAATTTTAACATACTTGCACAGAGTTCATTTTTAAACAAAAGTCAGAGTCAATCAATATTATGCATACAACACTAATAATAATAAACACTTTATCCTACACAATGGAAAATTTCGGCATTACGTAATCAGATGAAAGAGATGATGAAAACACCCAGTTACCAGGGCAAGGAAAGACTGATAACTGCTTCTTTCTGAACGCATAAATCGGGTTTCAGGCGCTTGATGGAGATTGCTTCAGCAAACTTAAGGAGAATTGAACTCTTTTGCCTATTGATAATTTTGAACGATCTTGCGATGTCCACCTCATGACCCGCGTCAAAGAGATGCCTAGAGATGGCACTGTTTAAAGCAATTGTTCCCTTAAGATATAGGCTTTTCGGTACATGTTCAGAAAATCCGAGATATGTCCTTCTTTCTGTTCTTCTAATGTAACTGCTCCTGCAGATACATGTAAATTTGTATATACAGTTGGAGTTGGCAATTGCTGTTATACTTTCACTTTAAGATCAAGTTGAATGAAGATGGGTTTTTTTCTCACTGTGATATGCTTGATATTTGAGTCTTCAGATGTTCCGTACTTGTTAATAAACCTTTGTGGGTAACCGCTGCTTTTCAACATCTTTTCGAGAAGCATAAATTCTTCCTCCAATTTCTCTGTAGAGCATATTCTTCTAGTTCTAAAGTATAGAGTCTTGACTAGTGCTCGCTTAAAGCTATTAGGACAAAAACTATTAAAATGTAGGTATTATCCTTTTCATGTAGGCTTTCGGTAAATTAACCTCTGGAGACTACCATCTTCTAGGCGTTGTATGGCAATGTCGAGGAAATATAACTTTTCATCATGTTCCATAGTAAATTCAATATTTGTATGTGTATCGATGAATAATCTGAGTAGGTGTGAAGCATGACTTTCGTTGTTGCACACTACAAATGTGTCATCGACATATAGACAATAAGTTGTTTCGTCGATTGCATGCTTCAACTTTGTTTTCTCAAGGTTTAACATGAAGATATCCGCTAAACAAGGGCTAAGTGAACTGCCCATAGCTACACCATCTATTTGGCGGTAAAGAGTGTTGTCAAAACTGGAATTACACATCCACGGTACACATTAGCAGTATGCGTCTGAATTCCGACTCTTGAAGTGGGAGAAGATCAGACTGCTGACAAATGATCTCAGTAGTTTCATTTATTGGGATCCTTATGAACAACGAGGTTGTATCAAATGACGCCATGAACTTATTTGAAATGTTCATGTGGTTCACACTTTCGGTGAAATGAAATAAGTCTTTCCTTGCCCTGGTAACTGGGTGTTTTCATCATCTCTTTCATCTGATTACGTAATGCCGAAATTTTCCATCGTGTAGGATAAAGTGTTTATTATTATTAGTGTTGTATGCATATATTGATTGACTCTGACTTTTGTTTAAAAATGAACTCTGTGCAAGTATGTTAAAATTGTTTCTGTGGATATACTTAATAATGTCTTTAGGTTGTAAGCAGCTGATGAGAAGCCAACGAAATAAAAGATGGTACCATTTTATTCTGCGAAAACTGTTGCTTTTGCTTTATTCAAATTTATTAAGGGGAATAAAAGTATGAAAACAAAACAGCAGAAATAGTTATTCCTGAAGAATTCTAAAACTTACTTAAAACCAACTGTTCTATGTTTTTCAAATATCACATCTGAGATTGGCAAAGAGGCAGATGATGAAAAGTATATCCCAGTGCGACGTACACAATTATCAATAATTGGCTGCAATTCATTCAACACCACAGTACGTTTCATTTTTTGAACACGAGCAATATCGAATCCAATGTAGATGATAGGTGGACTACTATCAATTGTTTCCATAACAAAGGAATCAGATGAATCAGACGGCCTTGAAATCCTGGAAGGTAAGAACTGAAATGAAAAATACATTTGAAACTAATGATAATTCCACGCAGAAAGAGATATTATGAAAGCAGCACTTTAGGAAAAGTTTTTACAATACACTTTAGAAATTCAAAACAATTAGGCTTTTTAATAAACCTGGATAGGGCTATTATTTGACAGTCTCCTGGCCTCAACCTAGCTTTTTGGTATCTATTTTATTATATAACCAAGAGTAGTGTTACACCACATTTTAAAGATAAACCCATTCTTTTAATAACGCCATCCAAAAGCTTCGGAAACACTGAATTAATGTGGATAGAGGTTTATAGTCATCAGCGTGAATAATTAGGTTACAGGATACAATATACGTCGCTAACAACCTTTACATGTTTTACCCGATATCGCTTAACACATACTTGACACAAGTAAAGGTTTATCGTTATAATAATATTAACTGTTTCTTGGGAGAAGAATGTTTAACTTGTAACGTAAGTGATAAAAACACGACAAACATTTTATTTGTCCATTGGATTCCAATTAAAGAAAAATAACTCAGAAAGAGTTTAACCAGAAATAGTCATTATTTTATGCATGATAAAACTTCCAAATGTCCACCTAACTGAAACTGACACAAAAATGCATCTGTTCAAGTGGCCATATCTTAAGAAAAGCACTGATAAAAGGAAAGGAAAGAAATGTAATGAAATTGCCATTAACGAATATCTGCGGGAGAAATAACAATTAGGCGAAGGTTAATGAGCATTCTCAGGTTCTGAAAGATCCCAAGGACTGAATACATTTTCTCTGTTAAGATTAATATTGAGCCATGTTCACATCAATTAGTCCTTAGTATCCTGAACAACCCAACCAGGTAGTCTACACCTCTCCACGTGGGTAAAACAAACAATCATAGTCTTCACGCATGGATTCCGGATGTTGGTTTGACCATACCTAACTCTTTCCCAGTCTAGTACTACTTCACCCAACATTGCATGTCAATGCACGCGTGACATAGGTCCTAGCCATCTCAGCTAATGTAGCTTCACAAAATTGTCGACTGATTTTACTTTCTTACCCTACACCCTAGACCTTTCCTCATTATTACTGACAGGACAGCACCACTTAACAAGAGTGCTAACACCTGTGCTTGTAAACCACTGACCTTTCCACATCTTCCACTATTAACATTCATATGGTCACTGTTTCAATAAAAAAGTCACTTCCTGTCAACTGCCAAATATTTTAGGTATCACTATCACTAGACTGTATTGTGATATTTTTAGTTTGTCTTAAGGTTAAATCCAGATATGTGGAATATTCTTACTACAAGCCCAACAGCGTACTTTATCTTAATTGTAAATTAAAGTCCTAATCTTAAATAATATGGCTGTTCTATACTTTTGATTCAACAACTAATTATTTGACACCAACCTGAAATAAACAAAATATCCATAAGCTATTGATTTGAATCATATTACAACAGGGTGCAACCAAAATATGTATGCATTTCAAAATTAACAAGCTGTCTTGATGATTCAATGATTAAGGAGTGTAAACAGATGTACGCTTCTAAATAATGACAAATAACTCAAACAAATAACCTAAAAATTCCTTTTAAAATATAAATAAAATACACCATGATCGTTAACTTACCTGACTTAAATAAATAATTCCACGTTCATATCCACTAGATAGTGTAGTTTCAAATTTTCTCTTCTCTCGTTTTTTCATCAGATTGAGTACAATTAATGGAGAACCATGACGTTTAAGTAAACTGGCGAAATGTAAACCCATTGATTCATAGTACGGATCATCACGCTTGAAGAATACAATAAAGGAGTAGAATTTATTAAATGACGCGCTATCTTAAGTGGAACGATGGGTAGCATCTGGGTGTATATACAGGTCTTGTAAGGATTTCGATTAAATTCAAAGTAGATTTCGTCAAGAACCAACATTAGTTAGGGAATCATTGAAAACCAGGAGCGCTGGACAGCTGTTTTGTTCTGGCTAGGGCACCCACGAACCTGCCAGGGATCAAAATCGGAACTTTCAAGCTACGAGGTCAGGTTTGTTGACCATTCCAGCCAGTTAGGTTGGAATTCAACAACTCGTGAATTCTAACTCTGCCATAACACTAATGAGTTTAGTACGTGGAAAAGGATTCAAAGACATGGTCTACTGCTTTTAAATACAGACATTTTTCAAGTATTACCACGTTGAAACTCAGATAAAATGTATGAAGATGTATTACTAAAAATAAACTAAAGTAAGTTATCTCATAAAGAATGCTGACGTCTGTCAGTTTTAATTAAACTAGTATCAAACTATTATCAGTCTTTCAATACAGCTGCTGTGAAATATTCCTTGAAATAAGATTCCTACGTATCATGTTCGTCCTCGAAAGTCTATCAGATAGAGAACCATTACCCTGAATTCGTCTACACAGTAAACTGACCGTAGTCATTCAGGAATAAATTGGACACTATTTCAAAGACAAGTACATAGGACATTAAACAATTGTCAACACGAATGTTCAAAACTTGAAAGTTTCATAAAGAGATTGCCTCTTTTTAGATCTAGACTTAAAAGTCGTATAATGCGCCTTATTGTTTTCATTGTGTAATATTTCAATTGTCGGCATAGCCCATCCAGAACAATGAAATATATGCGAAGTGACTGGATTCGTTCTCATCGTTTTAAGTATGGCTAGTGGTTTGATCCCTGTGCTCCGGAACTTATCAAAACATGAAAATATATTCAAAGCACTTCTATCTGGAAAGGAATACTTTCTGGTGCCTTGTATTCTATTTCCCCCTAACAGCACTCAATCTTTGCAGTACATTGGAACCTGAGATTATCTCAGAAAGATTTGCTTTCTTTCCTATGAACTAGGATGGTCAAGGACCTACACCAGCATGATGAAAATATCTCGAAATCCTATATACACATAGTCAACAGAAGAGGTCGTGTAGCTTTATTCATAAGTTACGCATAGCGACTACCGCCTTCTTCAACGAACTAAGCTAGAACTAGCTTTAACAAATAACTTGTTGACTTAAAACTTACACACTAAATCGGTGAAATTAACTTTTTCTTTACATACTTAACGAAAGTTAACATGAAAAATGAAAACCTACGACGAAATTTTAGCAATGTTAGTGAAGTGGTGAATAACTACTGTTTTATCACTAAATTCGTAAACTTACTAAAATTTCTAAAGGCGGTCTACCAACAACAACTTTAGAAGATTCTTGCGACCAAAATAATGGTACCGATCCACGCATTTGTACATAGGAAGAGACACGTCCATGACGAAGGAATGCATATGAAGTATCATGTACTATTTGTTCTGTTTCCACCTAACAGAAAATAATCACGTATGTAAGCGCTAGCGACTGAAAGCCAAATATAAAATCAAACAGTTTCATTCGATTACAAAATGGCATTATGCCTTACTTGAAGACTCAGCTGATATACTCCCTCTTTTAAATAAATTTAATTCTGCATAAAATAACAAAATATGTCTACAAAGCTTACAAAACAAAAGGCATGAATGAATCAGGAAAAAAATAAAGATATACAAATATCGGTTGGTAGTCGGTACACTATTTGTTTCCTGAGTTTTGTACTCGAACAATCCATTACAGGTTTAAATCCCGGGTAACCTAATTCACTTTGAACAACTGAATAGTGTTATAAGTTTTCTCTACAGGTCAGCGCATAAATTTGTATTTTACGAGTTGACACCAGATTCGCATAGATTTTCTGTTTAACTGTTTTTAACACAGATGGTATATACTTAAATAATAAAGGATTGCTCACTAACGACGTACGCGGTTCAGGGTTCGATTCCCGGTTGACATACTCCTAAACTTCACCTAGTTTACCAGCTGGCAGTAAGCCTGGAAAAGAAAGAAGGCTAGGCCTGAGGCTAGCAGTGTCATTCCATAACAAACAACACCAACACTGCTAATACTTCAAATACTTTAATGCTTGAAGCTCTGTTTTCCACTAGTAAAATAAAGGAATGGTAAAAGATCACAATTAGTAAATAACTATATAAATAAAAGATAAATAAGCAGATATTTTCAATGGAATATTAAAGTATTGGAATACAAAAATGAATATTGTCTAGCAATCTACAAGTAAGTGAAAATGTTTCCTTACTAAATAACAACTTTGAACAGCTTTTTATCATGGTTTAATAGATCTGATAAAAAGACCGCAAAAGTCAAAATAGAGCTATCCAGACATTGGAGAAAGAATAGATGCCCCCGAACGACAAATCACACTTACCGGCAAAACACATTTGTTATACTTATTAGAAAAGCCATTATGCAGAATAACTTCAAAGGAGGCATCTCGCTCGTTTTCAACAGTACATGTAGTACTGTTAAACGACATTAGGTACATAAATTTATGTGAAGTATTTGATCATATACTACGAGTAATATATGGTGACTTATTCTTGCTACATAGACATATCGGAATGCATCAGGACGACACTCTGATTAAAGCGATTGAGCATCAAATTAACAAATATTAAATGACTTTTTAAAGTCATTTATGTGTTGGTTGATGCCAACGTACTTTAACCACTGTAGCAACCCATCCTCAGACTTCTCAAACATGAAAAGTACGTCATTAATATACACAGACTTTCACAAAGTAATAAAACTCTATTGTGTTGAAAACCACTTGAAAGAATGCATACGATTAACAAACAGCATGACGTCAAGAAATAGAAAAGAGATACAGAATAAAAGAACAAACAAATACAAGGTAGCAATATGTGGAACGCAAACACTGAAAGATATACCGAAATGGAAACGAAGGATGCTAATTGTGACTCCTTCGTAAGATTTTATTATTATCTAATGTAGTGAGTACTGTTCACTGCTTTTACGATTGCTATTTCAACCCCATAATAATCGAATACTCATTATTTCAATATAATTTACAAAATAGGCACTGTTAAACGTATCGATGAAAAGTGCAGAATCCCTTACTTCATTTGCAACATCACCAACTAAATTAACTCCGCGTTTTAAAAATCGGCGTCCGGCAAAATGTCTTGACCTACGAGCAATAAGAGTAATCATAATTGGCATTCCACAAGCAGATAATGCTATTTGACTAACGCTACCATGAAACAATAAAGTAAACCATTCAGGTTGATCATTTACAGAATTCACAAAATTACGTTTGGATGGTCGAAATTTTGGTGGAATCAATCTCCAATTCCAAACAAATTTATCATTAGGGATTGACTTTAATGTCACAAGATGATCACATTTTTGTTGCTCTGAACGAAATGTCTGGAAAAGGAAAGAAATTAGAAAAGTGCTAGCATTATTTAGATACAGATATGTGCACCGAAGGCTATAGGCATACTGATCGACATGTAGTCCACCATGAGTGTGTCTACTACCTTCATTCTAGCTACATACAGTTTAGAATAGTCGGATCGTCCTAGCACCAAAGGAAAACAGAATGACTGGTATGCTTTGTAAGCTTAAATATGTCATAACAGGTGGGGAAAAGGTGGCGAATTACCCGTCTACCAGTAAATTTGTTAAAGTGGAACGCGGAAAATAACAATTATAATGACTTACACCCTTCTAAATAAAATTGTTCACTCATCTAACTGGCATACATCATGAAGATTTTCTCCAAGCAACCATAATCACGCAGAGAACTAGTGAATAATACGAAGCACAGCAGAGCGGTTTCACAATAGTTTGAATCACTTTAGAAGCTCTTTTTATTGGGATTATGGGGAAATCCTAACCCACTGTTAACTGGAAACTATCTTCAAGATGGACTTCTCGAAATTATAATGAAAACTTGTGATCGTTAGGTCAGAAAAATGGAGTATGAGAATAGTTGCTTACGAATGATATTGAATAGCAATTCAGACATACTGTGAATCGATAGCTGTCCACCTAATTAATACGTGAAGATTTGTAGTTTCAAACCCTATGCTAAATAAAACTCTGTCGTTCGACACTGGACCTCTGACATACTTAGCAACAAGGAATACCTATTATTTAATCAATTATTCTGATATTAGGTTATTTAGGTCATAGTGAATGACGTGGGATTTGTGACCCATTTCTTCCATTCAAACACTTATTAAGAAGTGGGTAGCTACTCTTTCACTTTGGCTTACATAGATGTCATCCCCAGTGATTACCGTATTTGTCATACAGACTACTGTAATTTAAAAATGATAAAAAAATTTTCCTTCTGATTCAAGGTTATCGAAGCTGATCTATTTGGATACATAGCTGGTGGACCCAGTAGAGAAAGATAGCAACATCTCTCCAATAACATATTTCACAGTGGCTAATAGTGATACGGTAGCAAACCCGGTAAAAAGAGAAGGTTGCGTGTAAGGTAAGGGACTTCATCTCACAAAAAACACCACAACTACTGAAGCTAACTAACTAAATAACTTTGACACAGTATCCTGAGAAAACTTAAGAAATTTGATTCACAAGATGACCCTATAAAGAGGAATTAACATACAACATGACATGTAACTATTAGTTGTAATAAACTTACAGGTTCCAAGTTGTATTGCAGACTATGAGATAAGTCATACGTGTAACTGAAGTAAAAATTACTGGCCAAATCCACGCTACTGAATAACTTTAAATATCGTATTTCATCACCTGACAACTTTTTACGTCCCATGGAACTTTTAATAAAATGAAACAATCCTGTTTGTTGTTCATCTTCGCTGGAACAAGTATTGACATCAAGATCTGTACTATGTAAGGAGGATTTCGAAGAGTAATGACTTTTGTGATTATTGCTTAAGTATCCACTTTCATCTACAAAATCATTGCCAGGTATATATATCATAGCAGTGTCTTCAACCTTTATATTTTATACATAAAATAAATAAGAAACAATGAGAATGATTTCCAAGAAGTCAAGCTAGCTGACTTTAAATGAAAAAGTAGATTATAAATTTAGAGGATTTACTTTAAAGTAGCAACAATGGTGGTAACTCAAGAGTAGTTGCAGAATTAAACTCAACATTATCCAAGAAACCTTTAGTCACAATGATGAATTATTAGTCTCGATTCAACAGATATAGCTCATAGACTAGTATACAAGTCTGTAGACGTAAACTGGGTTGCGCAGTTCTATGCTGAAAAGTTAATAACCATCAAAATGTATTCATAGTGGGGTAGACGATAACAGAGACACACCTCGACAAAACATAAGGATCAACTTATCCCTTTCAATAAATCAGCATGAAATTCTAATGAAAGTGTGCAGTCCAATGAAGATCAAGAGTTTGATACTACTGTTAGCAAGCACTAGCATATTCGGCTTACCAAATTCGCTACTCACTTCTCTTACGCAAAAGTCATGACTATAAACTATGCAAGCATACCTATTTAACACCGAAATTTGTCTTCCATAAAGATCAGTTAGGAGAGAACTAGCTAACTGGTCAATCGGTTGGCACAACAACATACAGTATGTCCTTTGATTACATTTAAGTCAACCGTATATAGGAATATAAAAAATGAGTAGCTCTGAAAATTTAAAAACATTATGTCAACTGACCTTACAAATTTGATGTTCACCTAACTGCGCAACTACTGAGTATTTAGTAATCAAAATAAGATAATAACCGCGAAGAAATCGGATGACCCCAACAATTCCATGACATTTCGCAGCTAATACTAGAGAACGTCTGCTACTGCCAGTGTAAAGAGCTGAAGCAGCAGCCTGTTGTAAGTCTTTTGCATTGAAAGATAAGTCATTGGATATATCTGGACTAGGAATAACAGCCACGTTCTCATTAATTTTAGACATATGATCTTGAGGGCGACGTTTTGAAAAAAGTGAACCAAAACGAGACCACTTAGGAGAATTTGATACGTCTGATTTATCATTAACAGCTTTTGACTGAAAACTCTAAAAGAAAAACATGACACTAATTCATGACTATGATTGTACGGAAATTAAATTTGCAATTATATAGATGATATATGCTGCACAATACCAAGATACTGAATGGTTCCCAACCTATATATCGCTAGAAAAAAAGTAATCAACTAGAACAATTTGGTACGTCGGCAGTTCAGTGTTGGAATGCGCAACAACTACACATGTGGGCCGGGTTTGATCACTGGTCGACGCACTCCTAAACCTCCCCCAGCTGGCAGTAAAGCCGCTTAAGAAGGAAGCTCCGTAAAAAATGAACCCCACAGCTGCTGAAGCTTTAAAAGCCTGCAGCCATATGTTCTACGGGGAATGCAAACGAAAGAAACAGCGTAGCGATAACCGGAAATTGTCTGATGTTCTCTGGCCTTCTGTACTTCATCGACAACGTACTGCCACCAGCCTTGATGTTATCTTTAGCATTAATCTCATCAGTGAAGCTTCCATCTTCATCCTGAGATACAAATCTTCCCTATAATTACGTAGATTACGGTTAACGAGAATAGAATTGCTGACGTTTTGCTGATTGCCTGAAAACAAAAACTACATGTCAAAACTACTCTAAAATTTCTTTGTCTTTTAGTAGGCAGTTACTTAATGCTACTATATAAAAAGCTATACTGTGAATAGCCCAAAGCAGCTATCCTGTAAACTTTGCAGTCGAGGAATAGTAATGCTTTATCTTTTCCAGGTACTCGGAGAAAAAACACTACCTACTATATGAGTAGAGTTAACTTATTGACAAATCACACTTTCGAAAGCTTCCAAAGCATTATCAGGCTCAAGATATATCGTCCGCATGCTAAAAAGGGTGATTTCACAATATTACTCTCTGCATTCCAACAACGAGGCTCAGTAGAGTGACTCATGAATTAATGTGGAACTTTGAAAAAAAATGTGTTAATTCACCCTAGCACACTTTAAAAATCAAAATGAAATAGAATAAGATGATTGAATGGTGTGAAAATTTGTGTGTAATAAAAAACCATATTGAGATAATTCAGCGAAAAATCAAGTATTGATTCTTGGAATTTCGAGGACAGTAATTAGGTAGTCTGTAACGTCATATGTAGTTTGGAAAAATTGTCATTAACTTCATGAACCGACTAAATGTTTTGTCCTGACAACTCTTAACTATTTTCCCACCTATTTTTTTTTAAATTTTAGCTTGATTTCACACAGTACTTTGGTACAACTATTGAATTTTCAGCATGTAATATAGGTAGCCCAAATTTAACAGGCCGACCATTGATATCAGGTGTGCGTCGGCCAGGGATCGAACCCCCGACCATGTGCATGGTCGGCGAGCGTCGTGACCACTGTGCCACTGACGCACAATTAATATTATTCTTTAGGCAAGGCAGTGACTCGGTTTGCGTTACAGTTCGTCAACTGGTAATGCAGAAAAAATGACTGATATAATTACCGCATAAATTGATGATCAATTGAATAAAAGCGAAATAATCACTGAATATGAAAGGCTAGAAAGAAAACAACAGGTTTAAAAGTTTCTGTTCAATTCAATAAGAAGCAGTATGTTGTGTAAACCTTCAGCTGTGTGTACACTTTGTTTTAAGAACTAAGTGAATATTGTTTAAAAAGCGTGAAACTTCTTCATCCATATAAATACACAAATAAGTTCTGTAAATATTAATTTTAGTTGGTTACAGAACTTAGAAATACGAAACAAACATGAAGCAAGTATAAATAAGGACCCCTAATTGAGCTAAAACGAGTTCAGATGCTGCATTTTAAGCAACAATTTTTTACCATAAGGCAATAATCCCACCAGGTTGCCCAATCTAACGTGAAGTTGAGATCTGAGTTAAAGGTAGATATTACTGTAAGGCACTTCACCACTTTGCAGTAATTTCACCTCAAAATTCTTGCAGAAATACATCAACCACCGCGTAAGGATTATCTACATCAGCGAACATAACTTTGAATAAGCATTCTAAAATAAATATACCCGATTAGCTGCCTGAATGGTATGTAGCAACCGAGCCACTTCTGAATGTGAATAAATATGGGGATCCTCTATAATATTCAGACGCCATATTCGATCAACCAAAGTTTCTGCCTCAACAGTTGCTTCAGAACCAATGCGCTCCTTATCCATCCACAAAAGATCATCACCCAGTGGAACAGGTGACCGATCGATTTTGAGAACTCGGAAATGGCGTTCGAAAGCATCAGAACCAACAAGGTAAATCTGGGAAGGCGTTTCATACACACTGATGTTTCTCATCCAATTTATGTACGGTACCTCCATAGCTAAACAAAAACGTGTGAAAAAAGTAAAGCAGTGAAGTATCATCTCGAATAATTGAGTGTGTTTTTCATAAATATGTTATGGAAAATTTCGATGGGAAACTGATTTTAATTTCAGATAAAGATGCGACCCCATAACAACTATCTCTAATTTTAGAACGATATATATGTATGTATATTCAGTCAAACAGCTGTATTTACTTTAGCAGTAATCTATAAAGATGGCTTACCTCATTTATTTTAAGTGACCGTTTGAACACAGACAGCTAATTGGGAGATCCAAATTCAAATGATTGCTCAGTTCAGCTTAAGCAATCACCAACCTTCTATATAATGGGTATAAGGGATGAAAACTGCTTAGTGTAATCAAACCATTCTTTAATACTATGCAAAGCTTTCACAACGCATATTTAGATGCTGTGATCCCATGGAAAGCTCCATAATAAGCTATCAAACCAAAAAAACCATTAAGTTGTTCAACCTAATTCAGTTCAAGTCCTACTTGGATAATAAATGTCTAACGTCTTAAACAGACAGTCTCATCGTTAAAAGGTCACTTAATTTAACCTACTTTACTACCACACAATATATATTTAAAAATTCATTAACGCAGCTTGTCAACATATCCAAAATGTGTTAGAGTCGCACCTCTGTATATTCATCTAGTTAAAATTCAACCACACTTGTACGAAGAGTCAACACTAAATAGTTGTTTACACCTGAGTATATAGAAAAATATTTATGCATGTAACACTACTCCAAGGTTAAGTAACCACAGCTATATCCTAGTCGAAAGAAAATGGACGAATAATTAAATAGTAGATTAAGTGGGTGGGAATTTGAGCGAGTGGCAAGATTGATAATGTAACGGGCAAATGCTGGTTAATTAATCGAAAACACCAATTAAACCATAGCAATATATTGGTTCAGAAATGTCAAAATACTGGTCTATTAATGGGTAAAACTATAAAGTGTCCGTTAAATTTTGGGTCATCATAGGAAAAGTTATGTAATATGACCGAAGACTGCCCATTTTTTCTTACTACTGGCCATGCCCATTATCCACCCATTTATGTCCAATTTGGATGCCCATGGTTTCAGGAGCTCATCACAAAAACGAATGCGTATCGAAATATATACTCTGACATTCGTGCATTTGAATTAGATCCCTGTCCAGGTAAATGCATTAAAATCCGCAGAAAACCGTTTTGCCTTTATACATAATATCGGGTGTCTCTGAGTAGCAATACCTATAATTTATCACTTACGCATGAGTTCAAGGTTAAATTGCAATTTTAATTGGGTCTGGGGGTTGCTGACACGGTGAACAGAGGTCCGCTAACTGACCTTTAGCCACCTAGTCATGTACCATCAAGAAAATCGATATAGGCAGACTTTGATTGGCTGTTGGCTTCCTGTAGGTCTAAAATATAAGTCAAAGCGGTAATTTTTTTTATTTTCACATGGGAAGTTACAGGCAATTGAATTAAGGACTTACTATATTATAATGGTGTGTGGATTTTGTGTTGTGAGTGTAGTGTGATGAGTCACATGCTATTTGGATGCATTATTGGTTTTTAAAGTACAGTGAGATGTAAGAGAATTTTTACTAGGTGAACATAATTTAACAATAATTTTGAGATATTAAGTCCCAAAATAGGACTTGTGCATTATTGCCTTATCAGGTGAATATATTTCAATAACAATATCTAAGCATTTAATCTATGTATTTGGATAGTGTATATATTCATTAATCCACTTTGTTAAGTTGTTAGTCCAGTGACCTGTGTGATTTGTGCTTACTAGGTTAACATAATTCAACTAAAATTTACTACGTTACAACAGTGATATATAAGCACTGAAATACATAATATTATATATTTACTTGAAATTATAGCGTTGTGTTCGTTAGGAGTTCCTAAAACCACTAAATGATGTTCCAAAATACTCTTACTGCCTCTACTTCACGAAATGTGTCATCTATATTGTCAGCTGATAGTGCCGTCTAGTTTGTATTGCCTCGTAATCGGGAACATCAGTAATCAATATTCAGATTTATAATTTATGGTAGATAGCTTCAAGAGTGTGTTAACTATTTCCAGTTGAGTGTTTGTGCCTTTTTATCTTTCACTGATTGTTTAAGGGTGATCCACAAGCGAAAACTCAGCGAGGCGTTCGAAGTGAATACATTAGTAATACAAGTCTGTCTATAAACACCGATGATATTCTTAATTATGGTGATCTTGTGGAAAGTTAGTATACGATGGGAAGTATCCATCCTTTGAGTTTATCTAGCAAGTTGTTGAGGTCTACATGACATGCTAAAATTTCGCTTTCATACTTAAGCTGTCTCAGAATGCTTTGGTCATCTGCAAAGAGTATCGCGGGAGTTTCGGTGATCCAATCCACTGATGTGCATGATACATAAAGGGCCAAGAACCGTACCCTGAGGTTCACCATTTTGTTCTGTTATCAAAGAAGATAGTTTAGGGGTTGATCCTAACTGCATATCTCCTACATTCCAGGAATTTCTTGAGTTTGTTGAGGAGATTGTCCTTAAATACGAAATCTTCAAGCCTCGTATATAATACTATAGGACTACTTTGACTTAAGCTTTTTCGAAACGTATGGAAACGACGCTGGCCGCTACTTATTCCCCCACGACTTGACTCAACCATTTCATTCTGTGAGAAAGCTTGTCAAACACTAGAAGTTTTCCTGGAAACTGTGCTGTTCCATGGATAACAAAGTGTTGTCTTCCAGATATTCAGTAACAGCTTTCTTGATCCACTTGATCACGGTGCCTGTAAGGCCAATAGGCTTGTAGTTCTAAGGAGTGTGCCTTAATCCTACTTTTTGGATGAAACTTACCCACATGGCTTTCCAACCACATGGTTACACTCAATGTGAGATACATCGCTTTGTAACAGCAGAAGGCACGGTACGGAAGTAAAGGTATATAATGCATTGATCACACCACTGTTTATAAATATGCAGTTTATATTCTTTAACCAATCACTGGGCGTGTGATTTTGGTCTTTAATAAACAACATGAAACAGAACGTTAAAACATATATAGCCTTCTGTTGCTAATGCTGTATTGAACTGTGGAAATATGTGTGAATAATATCCCGTTGGAACGCACTGTCTGTACCACACCACCCCAGGTTGAAGATCGTATTCAATGGCTGCTAGCCTCTTAGGAAGCCTTGGGTGAAGGAATCAAGTCCTACTCATTCACCTGTCTATCTCATTTGGAGACTAATAATAATATATATTTATTCCTATCTAGGACAAGATGTCCCAGTCAATGTTAACACGATCTATCCTTTTTTCCTGTGGCAGGGCCAGTGCTGATACTCCTGTGTGAGGACTCTGAAGAAATCGTCTGGCCTTTCTTCTTCTGCTTTGTTTTCCTCCTCAGCTGAATCTGTATCATTAATCAGATCCAAGATTCAACTGAACGTCTCACTCGTGAAGTTCATGAGCGGAAATGTTTTCTTGGTCTCTAACACTGCACTTTGAGGTAGATACATTGTGAATTTCAATCATGACTGATGAACACTTGAAAAGTGTTGCTTCTGGCTTTCTGACCTCTAAATTCCTGAGCACGGCAAACATATTCTGGCTGCTTTGTTTACGCCAGAGTTCTCAGTGAATCTCTTGACTTATCCCAAGGGCACTGCTTTCGACAGCTAATAGCAAACTATGGTGAAAGACTTATCTACGAGTATTGTTTCAACTGACTCCATGAAAGTTCCATGCGGGTTTCATTGTTTACATCCCAGCCTTCCGATGATGCCATAGAAAATTATGGCATTCCTACAAGTATGCTCAGGCTGGAATTTTGACGCGGGATCTTACAGCAGCTTTGCACTCGAACGCAAGCACAATGTTACAACTTATTCGTAGAACTGGAAGGTGTTGCATGATGATCTCATCCCAACTGTGTTAGGAAAAAGCAGGTCCTTGGTCGATGAAGGAATAGTAAAATCAAAATGAATGTAAACAGTTGCGCCTATTTCTGTAAAAGGGTGTAGTTTGTCTAAAATTAGTTTGAGTAAGTCAACATCAGGTTCCATGCTGGCCTTGAGGCTTGAAACTTTTGATTCTTACGCTTTATAGAAAGCGACCTATCTGTGACTTTAGGTTTCCTGCGTTTAGCTCTTGTGCTTTGCAGCAATCGGATGGCATTCCAGGAGCGTCAGTCAGTCATCAAGCACTGCAACAGCCTCATTTACATGGTGGTGAGTCATTTGTCACTAAGCTGTTCTGAGATTAGCTTGAAGCAACACTTGTGTGTCCCAGCGGTCACTTTGGTGCGTTTATTAAAAAACTGCATGTCACAGTTGATACACTCCGTGCACTTGATCCTGACATTTGAAATATGATGGTCTCCTTTTTCCTGGGGTCTATTCTCAGAACGTAACGAGGCATTGTAGAAAAAATGATCTCAGTGATCAAAAGAAGCAAAACTGGATCACCGTGGCGAAAAAACACGGTTTTCTCAAAAATTACACGAACCTGAAGCTCAAACTGTTGAGAAACAGACTACGGATAAGAAATCCGAAGAAACGAAATGTCTAACTTTAGGAAGTTCAACGCAAACTGGAATTTGTGTAGGCTTTGATAGTCCATAACACATTAAAAGCAGAATTTCAATAACGGTATACAAAAATTAACTCCTACATAGTTGTTGCTTACGAGCTTTCAAATCATATTCACCTATTCGACCTGGCATTCCGGTGAAGTTCTAGCCATCACTAAGGGATAAACTTTGTCAACTTAGGGTAACAGAACTTACAACAACTATACATTGGCTGTAAGATCAATTTCACAGCCAGTAGATAGGCGTCAATAAGATTATTAGAATATGGGAAGTTAGTTAAACGTGGAATGATTAACGCTGCTGAACCAAGTAATCTAGAAGTTCTCAGATATTGCAATGCCTCCATTTGCATATAGCCATAGGATAAGGTAGAAGAGGGAGAAAATTTTAAAAGCAATATAGTTAGGTGAAGAAGGAAGTCAACATCAACACAGAAATCGTGCAGTTGTAATGACTGGATGCCTATAGCCCATATACGAAAATATACAGTAGATTTTGAGGGGAAGAGAAAATAAACAGCAAATAGTGAAGCCGAATGAATATACTGATATTGATATGAGTACCTATTTTAAGTTTGTCTTATTGTTTTATCTTTTTCAGGTATCGTCTGCTAGATGG